AAGGCCGTGTGGGTGGCGAGACGTGGAGCAGTTGACACGGAGGCCTGTTTCTCACTGACACCCCTGTTGCCACCAGGATGCCAGAGCGTTGCCGCCTGGCACACATGACTTCGTGCCCGTCCTGCCGCAGGTACCTCGATTTCTACGCGCGCTGGGCGCGCCCTTGCGGGCGGTCTCCCGCGAGCTACCGGGGGAGCGGGGAACCCATCCGGTTTATTTTACGGCGGTCAGCCAAGGTCATGATGAGCCACAAAAGACCCCGCTTCCTCGAAGCCAGCTGTGCCTCGTTCAGCTGCAGGGCTATTGCGCCAGCAGGGCTGCTTTCACTCGAGCTGGGCTTCTTTTGAAGATGACACTTTCAGGTGCATAGTGGGACATGGTGTCCAGCGTGCCGTACGATCCTTGGTTGTGGCACGCAAGCGTGGTGTAGCTTACACGCAACAAATCAGCGAGGGGTTGGTAGGTATGATGCAGGTATGAAACGTCAGCCATGTTACGTTTTACATTGGCATGCATGTAAGTCCTGTCATTACCGGGAATGTTTCACTTTTGAAGATGCTGAAGTAAGCATCAGATGTCATGAAACAAGCTCATTTATAACCGTTGGCACACGTTTTAGTAGAGAGGACTACTCCAGACAACACCATTTTCTGTTTACCAAATATGCTCCTAAATGCGGTCATTTTTTATTACGTCATCGCACCATCGTACCACATTGAATGAGAACCAATGACGGCCGTTTTAGCTGGAAATCGTGCTCACGAAACGCCAAATATGGATACTCAGTCATTATGTTTTTATTGGCCTTGATCACCGCATGGCTTATGAATGGCAGGATTTGGATGACGTCATCATCACGCCATGAATGTCAAGGTGACCTTCAAATATTCTCCCAAATTACTCTCCCCTACCTTTGCTGTCCTTAAGCGGTAGAACAAGAGGGCTTTAGGCCTAAAAAAGACATGGCCGTGAGCTGCATCAAGAGGTCTTCGATATAGCTATTCCAGTTTAAAACAAATACAAAAGTAGAGCACTCCAAGCGTGAGCGTAGTACAGGGACAGCGACTGAGAGACTTGGGTCAACATGCTACTGGTTAGCAATGCTGCGACCAGCGTTGCCGCTAAGTTCAGCTGAGTTTACTCCAGTTCAGTTTTGTTCCGAAACAGCCAACAAAGTGGGGTCCCGCTGCTTCGCGCTCGACGATAGCCGACACAATCACCTAAGTTGGCTGTCGCACTGGATAAACACATATTTATTTTATGCAGCGTACATGTCACAGAAACACGGAGTGACATTCGACAGTTTGTCATGTAGAAAATCACACTCTGTGGCGACGAGTTTTCCTTACACATGACAGATGACACCCTAAAGAGCGCTCATCGCAGTGTTGGTGCCCAAAGGCAATGTTAGGCGACCCCGTGCAGAGGCTGCGCGATATGAACAGGCATTCCGGTTCGCAGCGAGCCTGCACTTCCGGAGGTGGGGCTGCCTCGGTCCGAGAGGTACATGCTTTACACGGCCGCACGGTGATATGCCTTGTTAACAGGCCCGATGTGGACAGGCGCAGCCTCCCGCGCCAATGCCTTCAAAGCCTCAACTGCCTCCGTTTGAGCGGGTCATGCTGCTGGGAGCGCGGTGGTGACTCGCGCTGCTAGTGTGCGTAGCCAACATGGCCGTAGCTGACATGGCCGTGCCCGCCGTATCCGCCGTATCCGCCGTATCCGCCGTACCCGCCCGTACCCGCCGCCGTATCCCGCCGTACCCGCCGCCGTATCCGCCGTACCCGCCATACCCCGCCGTATCCGCCGTAATCCGCCGTATCCACCGTATCCGCCGTATCCACCGCCGTAATACCGGGGCGACTATAGCATGGCTATAGACAGGGGCAACGTGTCTGCGAAAGAACAGAATGCGATCGGTAAAGCGCGCCCAATGACGTGTTTTATGTCAATCGGGATAGACCGTGCCGGTGTTCCAACTCATTGACGTACTCAAAGTACAAATACATAAATAATAAGTCACAATACTAATACGTAATATTAAGTCACAGTACATCTGCATCATAAGTCCCTCGTGTACATCCTGCATATTCAGTCAGTCACGTAAGTTGCTCAGTGCATTTTCGAGGAAAATTATTCACATAGATATGACAGTAGTAATAGCCGTATTCCTCGAAGAAAAACCAGGAGAATGAAGATATAAATGTGTTTACCCGCCTATATCTCCATTCAGCTTGTTTTTCCTCCGAGGAATAAGGCTGTTATTACTGTTTTACTAAGTCAGTTGTTAAGTTACCGTTGAAAAAGGGAAAGGGAAGAGAAAAGAGAGAGGGATATATATATATATATATATATATATATATATAATATATATATATATATATTGCGTGTGGATGTGCGTGTGTTGCAATGCATTACCAATCAAAGGCAGTAAAACAGGGACATGGTAGGGAGTAATAACTTGAAGATGTGTGGCCATGCAAACAATGATGGTTAAGAATAGCATTCGCCTATTTCTCTTTAAAAGACTGATGTTCACCATTGGCCAGCAACGACAAATCTTTAACTCTGCTAATGTTTGCAGCTCTGGCTACTTAACCCGGCGACTTTCGAGAGGTTTTTGACAAGAAGGTGGACCATAACAAGACGCAGACAAGTCACAGATTATCCAACAAAAACACACCTCAGACCGGCACGCCGCCACACAGGCGAGCCCACGAGACTGGCCGATCAACGTGGCGACACGAGTAATAGCTGCACTAGGCGCCTAACATACATATGAACGTGTTTGGGACGCGTCGACAACAAGTGCAAACACCGACGACACAGACTGACAGACCGGTCCGCTCCAGACTGTTAGCAGTCTAGTCCGGTCCAGGCGTACTCACACGGTGGCGCCGTGTCCGTGCGGGTAGTCCGGGTAGCTGTAGGTGGTGGCGTACGTGTGCCGGTGGTACTCGTCAGGCGCGTGGTAGCCGCCGTCGTGCGCATCCACGTGACTCCGCACGTACGTCACCGCGTGCGAGGCGTCGCCGCTCTGGTCGACGTCAGAGCGCGACGGGTCGGCAGCTGACTGGCTGGTGACGTCAGACTGAGCGGTGCTCTCATTGGCCGCCGCGGCGGCCAGCAGCAGCGCGGAACAGATCAGCAGCTGGCGGCAAGCGGCCGGGGTCGAGATAAGGGTCAGGCGATCGAAGATGGCTTGCTACCGAGAGCAGCGCGATTTTTACCTCTTAAGTTTGAGCTTAAATGATTTGGCAGTCGCAACCTAACGAATGGAGAGCGAGCGACGCATACGTCAGTTCAAACAGGCCGAGGAAAGACCGATCTGCT